TTTAAGTATAAATATTTTTTTTTGTAAATATAAGTATTTTTTTGGTTTATTTATTCCATTTTATACATATGATAATTTTTTTTGGTTTAAAAAATGTTTAAAGACTTAATCGTTCAAAATATGAAAGTCTATTGGCTTTTTTTTAGATTTTTTTCTATTATTTTACCGCATTAACCAGTTGTATATGTCATAAGGATATATCTAACAGGTTTTGAAATGTTCAAGAAGTTATTTAATAAGTTTTGGAATGTCCAAGAACTTTTTTGTTCCAAAAAATTGTGCAAAGACTTAATCATTCTAAACACTAAAGTCCATTGGTTTTTTAGATTTTGCCCTTTATTTAATTATTTATGAAATGACTTTTTTTTAAAGGGTGTTTGGGATTGCTTATAAAAACAACTTATTGACTTATTACGGTGTGACACCGGTAATAAGCACTTTTGAATGTTTGGATAAACAACTTATACCGGTGTCAAATCAGTTCTATATATGATTTCTTAAATAAAAAAAATGATTTAAAAAAAATTGCTAATGAAATTTATTTTAATTAATGATTTTTTTAAATTAAAAAAATAGAAAATAATTTGATTAAATTACTGACGGATTAACGATAAAATTTAACTAAATACATAATTAATTAAAATTCGTCGCTAGTGATCATTGGTATATATATGCATGAATTACTTATATCTAATTGATGACTATTTTGACCACCGTCAGGCGTTCTAACACAATAGCATGTTAATAAGTGTGAAATATCGTGGTTGAATCTTGTCGGTGATATCATTTCACCGACGGATTAGGGACGAATTTTAATAATTATGTATTTAATTAAATTTTATCGTTAATCCGTCAGTAATTTAATCAAATTATTTTCTATTTTTTTTAATTTGAAAAACCACCAACAAAATATATATTATTTTTAATTAAAATAAATTTCGTCAATAATCTTTTTTAGATCTTTTTTTATTCGAAAAATCACTGACAAAAAAATATTTTATTTTTAATTAAAATAAATTTTATCAATAAT